CTCTCTCTCTCTCTATATATATATATATATATATATATATATGACCCCCTCCTCACTTTCTCTCTCGCCACCTCCTCCTATCTGTCTTTCTCTCTTTCCCTATCTCTCTCTCTCTATCTGTCCCTACTATCTCTCGCTTTCTCTCTCCACCTCCTCTTATCTCTCTTCCAATATCTCTCTCTATCTGTCCCTCTACTCTCTCACTTTCTCTCTCTACCTCCTCCTATCTCTCTTTCTCTCTTGCCCTATGTCTGTCTATCTGTTCCACCTCTCTCTCACTTCCTCTCTCCAACTCTTCCTATCTCTCTTCCCCTATCTTTCTCTATTTGTCCCTCCTCTCTCTCACTTTCTCTCTACACCTCCTCTTATCTCTCTTTCTCTCTTACCTCTCTCTGCCTTCCCTCTCTCACTTTCTCTCTCCCCACCTCCTCCTATCTCTCTCTTCATTCTCCCCCCTCTCTCTCTCATTCGCTATCTACTGTTCTTTTTGTTACCTAATGCCTTTAATCAAATTCACCTCTGTTCGTTTTCTCCCAGTTCTTTTACGTCTGCTTATTGGTTGCTTCCTTCATTTTTGTTCCAAAGGCTGTCCGCCTCATTCTGGCTTTGTCACTCCCTCCTTCACATTATGTTTTATCTATTCAATCTTGTCTTTTAAAAGCTTTCATTCCCGGTGCACCAGCAAATATGCAATAACTATATCCATCGTATGTTTCGCCATTTTTTGCCAGTAGATCATTTATTACTTACTTCCACCATTCAATCATTCAATACATCTTGCCCTCTATTTCAGCCTATTCATATCTATCGATCTATCGATCTATGTCAGTCTGTTTATATCTATCTATCTATCTATCTATCTATCTATCTATCTATCTATCTAACCATCGAAGCTATTTATCTATCTCAGTCTGTTCATATATATTTATCATAATATCTATCTCAGTCTGTTCATATGTATCTATCTATATATATATATATATATATATATATATATATATATATATATATATATATATATATATATATATATATATAAAATTCCCTTCCCATTTCTATTGCAATACTCGAACTTCCCAAAAGAAGACAGATTTAATTTGAAATCTCTCCAAGTAAATTCAATGGACTTAAAAATGTTTGAAATTTTCTTCGGGATAAAATT